ATCATATATTATATGGATGGATCGATCAATGGCACCACAATGTACAAAACTAAAGTTGTGATATCTATACTCAAACCGATTTTTCTCCCACAACACAAATTGTTTTTGTGTGGATATGCTAATGTTAAACCGAATTGAACAGTGTGGTATATCATTAACTGTGCATAGGATTGGAATTGAATCGTATACTTCTCATGACCTTTAAAGCATTCTCTACTATTCAGTGTTCTTCAACTATGATTGACTGATTGCTACAATCAATGCATGTTCCTCCGCTCCGAATAGTTTGTGTATGTTACTCAATGGATTAACGTTGCCAAGTGTAAACAACAAGTGGCAGAACTTTTGCTTCATATGACTACAATAAAGTTTTGAAAATTTGATATGTATGGGGATTGACAAGTGACAGTTTACTGAATAGCCTGCTGCCGGCTGTATGGACACTTCCAATATTGTTGGCATGAAATTTTTATTCCTGACTGCATAATTATCCATTACAATCATAATCACATTATAAAATTAGTTAAATTTTCTTGGTGGTGGTTGTGGTGGTGGTGGGGTGTAGTTGCCCTTCTCGGCAGTGGGGGAGGGGGGTGTAGTTGCCCCTGCTGCCCTCTGCACTTTGTACAGCCCTGTTGGATGTGTATTATGTTTGACTTTGAAATCTTATTTGCTATTATATTATAATAAGTGATGAAATATTTCAATTGTCCCATGTCATCTTCATTATTCAGTTCCTTTCAAGAAAATACAAAATGTGAATCAACTTTTTTCGCAGATTCATGTACGCGTCGCGTACCTATTTTTTCACATGAGTCCGTAGCGAGAATCGAAGCCCCTATCGCCAGGGCCACATCAGTGTAAGGGCTGTAAGGTGCTGATCTCTTTTAACGTTTTGACAACTATTTCTTCAGTGATTATTATTGGTTCTTCATCCTGAATATCACACAAAACTCAGGCGATCAAGGAGAATAGTTATGGAGCACACTGACAAAGGCTTCGATCGTTAATAGATCTTGTTACTTAATCATGCTTACCTTTACAGTTAATCAGACCGGGAGATTGACTATCAGGACATGTCACTTTATTAGTGCCACAAAGTTTTTTAATTCAAACACGAGTTTGATAACTTTGATTTGATAATACGAACATCGCTTCCGTTCTCGATTAACTTTATTGAGCACTAATTTTTAAAGAGTCTCGTTTCCAGAGCGAGAACTTTCTGCCTTCCGGCAATCAAGGCCTTAAAAGTGACTATAAGGTGAGGCTAATTTCCACTCAGGAAAATTATCCGTGGATTGGAACGGACAAGAACATTTTTCTTTCTGTTAAAGTCATTAGTTCCAATTCAGAGCTCACAAGACAAAGAAAAATTTTCTTGTCCGTTCCAATCCACGAATAATTTTCCTGAGTGGAAATTAACCTATAGTCATGATGGGCGATCGGTTTTATGGACCTGTATCGGGATCGTTCGGTCGGTTCGGGCGTAATTTTGTTAAGATCGTATATTAATCTGAATCAATTAGGTACGTGCTCAATTTGTGGTCGCATGATTAAATTGAAGACATCAGGTTGGACTAGGGATTTTGTAATAGAAAACGGCCCACGCTTGTTATATTAATTAAAATACTCATTAAAAATTCATAAACCTTGTGGCAAATCATGTCAGCCATAATTTGTCACGTGAAGTGACTTTATATCTGATAAAACTCATCTTCATTAGTATTCTTTATATAATTGTTCATCCTAATTAGTATGATTATATAATTGTTCATCCTAATTAGCAATCTTTTGTAGTCGTATTTGAAGCTATTCAAAACACTCAAACTCGCGTTTTATCATATCTAAAACGCTCGGCTGCGCCTCGTGTTTTAAATATGATAAAACACTCCTTCTCGTGTTTTAAATACTACTTAACCTGCATGTGGGGAAGTGGAGCGTGCTTATCTACAACAAAATTGAATGTAGTTTTCCAAGCATACCACATGTCATTAGGATATATTCATACTCATTGACATGGCTCCAATTCCGTAGGCTAATATATATATATATATATATCATTGCGAAATTTGATAGGATCAAACTGTCGGTACTTTATTGTGAACGTATACCCTTGTCCGTATACTAACAGAAAACTTACGCAGGGGCGTGGCGACCGGTGCGACCCCCCCCCCCAATTATTGCTGCCGTAGCGAGCGAGCGTGAAGCGAGCGAGCGAGGCAGCAGTCCTAATCTTTATGTATATGTATATAATTATATATAAGGCAGATGAAATCTCGATCGTTTTCGGCGTATTTCGGCCTACCACAATGCACTGCTTCCGGGCCGGCAGGCTATTCTTGCCTAATAAACAGGCATAAGGCAAACAAGCAATGTGATCATCTTTCATCTTTGGTTTTCTTTTATGGAAACTACCTGGCGTAAGTGATCAACTGCATTTTGTCGATACGCAGTGGTTCGAGCGTTATAAGCGGCGGTTTCGCTATTATACGCAGTGGTTCGAGCATTATACGTGGTGCTTTCGTCATTATAAGGGGTGCTTTTAACATAATTTCCATATTCTTTCCATGTGTATAATCTCACGATTGCTTAATAAATCTGGTAGGCCTATGTGGCTGTGCTTTTTGCCTCTGGTCCACCATGACAATGACATGCTTTTAAAAAGGTTTATTTATAAAAAGGTGACTGCACTTTGTGAGTTTTTATATAATTATTATCATGTAGTGTTGATTTATTAGTAATAAATCTTTGTATATAACATAGGTATATAAATTAATATAACGCAGCAAATGCGCGCCAAGCAGTATAAACGCGGCTGAAATACGATATTAAAATCTTGAATGTGCCGTATGATTTAATTATGTTTTAGGATTTAAAGCCTTTAAAAATGCTTTGTCATTTGTATTTGTACTTGTACTGCATCACAACGCAGTGCGTAAGTGAACAGATTCCACATGTGAGGTTGTCTCTTGTATATATTTTTGTCGTCAGTCTTTGATAAACATTATTAAACACGCAAATTTAGTGAGACGCACACTCGCACATGTTAAATGTCACCTGCATGTCATTGTCATTGCCCTTTAACCCCTGGTCTAAATCATATGATTATTGAAGCGGGGCCGTTTTGACTTTGGCCCGTTTTGACTTTGGGCCGTTTTGACCTAGCACCGTATTTGTGGGCAAATTGTCTATACAATTTTATATACTAGATATCACAGCCATACCTGCCATTTTGATCTTTTCCTCGCGTTAGATAAGTTGATAAGTACACTCATTCTTGTACACTCGTACCTGTTCGGCTCAGTGTTCCTCTTTCGATACGAAACTTCGAGCGCCGAGTTATCATACGGCACATTCAAGTGTATAAATTATGGATGATTCCAATTCATTACGAATATTTCTTATTCTTATTCTTTAAAATATCAAGAGGCAATTTTTTTTTCAATGTCACATATTTGCAATGAAAAGTGTTCAAAACCTAAAATCTTTTTGGCGTTCCTCTCAAAATTACTTTGTTTTAGCTTTATTCTCTACAGTTTATAGAGTTAGCTGCCTTTTTAAATGCGTCTGCCGGTTGAGAAACATAAAATAATAGTTAAAAATTGCCAATTAAAATACAATTATCAATGATGCCTTAAAATTGACGCTATATTTACAGCCATTTAAGCAAAACATACTGAACTTCAGACATAACTTCTCTTTGGCGTATCATCTAAAATCTCTTCATTTTAGCATATTACAGATAAAGTACTAAACATACTTTTTAAGTGTTTTTTTTTTCCGATCGGAGAAACGTATCGAAAAATAAAAATTTTGATTTTAGTCATAATCTGATGTGGTATATTATACTCATTAGTTTCGAGCGCGTGTTACGTAACATACAAAAAATCTCATTTAAAGATTTGGGAACAATGCTATACCAAGGCAGCATTCACTACCCTGTGGGTAAACTAGTTCTAAACATTAAAAAGTTGGTCAAAATGTTTTGTTGTTGGTCAAAGGAAATATTGGGAGTAAATGCGCTAAACATATGAAGAAATACACCGTCTTTCATCAATATTGAAATTTGGCAAAAATTTGTTTTTGGTCAAAATATATTGAGAAAAAAATGCCATTAAATTTTGACTGTAGTGTGCATTGCCCCATCACCAATTAGTGTTTGTTTTGGGACCAGTTTTTGTCAATAACTCTGAGTGACAGTTTTACAATCAACACGGATCTTGCAATTCCAGCGTTTATCGCGGAGATACTCGAAACCGTGAGACCGCAAATACTGTGGCCGGACTGCACATTTAACAAGCAGCAACGATCATTAATTTCCCTAACTGTATATATAGGCTAAGTGCTAAAGAATTATAGTTTAAATAATATATCGAGTGTCAGTCTATTAATAATTATATTAAAACAATTATCCGGTTAGCTGATTACATATGATTAATATCGTGCAGATTACACGGCTATGTAGATTTGCATGACCTCTCTCGTAAGAAAACAGAAAGTTGGTCAATTTCATTGAAAACGTTGGTCTATTTGTATGACGGCCCCCAATCATGAGTCGTTCGCCGCGCCCCTGAACTTACGACCGACACGCATAAATAAGACTGTGATCGCTTATACTAACATGAGAGATACCAGAGCAAACAACTTTATCAGGAGTATTTGTGAAGATTATATGAGTAATTGAGTATCAATGTAGAGGAGAAGTCTGGGATTCAAGTGGGTTCATTTATAAGCTGAGAAAGAAGATATAAATCAGCAATATCCATGAGTAACTTCGAACTATGATCTAAGACTGTAGGGAATCAAGATATACCTAAAAGTGTTTTATAATGATTAAATTTTACAACGGGCGAATTTGATGGCCTATACCAAGTGGCCCAGTAGTGAGACAAGGCTTGGATCTACCCTAAAATGCACAAATTTTCAAATTGTTGAAATGATAGATTATGCAAAATCGAAATATTAAGGAAACTACGTATATAGAAATAAACACCTTCGCCAAATCTACCATTGAAATCTCGTACAATTTCGTAGCCATGTATACAGCTATTTCAATTAGATCGTGACTAAAACACCACACGAGTACACACGAGTAACATACGAGTAACACACAAGAACATACGAGTACATACGAGTAACATACGAGTACATACGAGTAACATACGAGTACATACGAGCAACATACGAGTACATACAAGTACACACGAGTAACGGCTATCTTTAAAATAGGGAACGGGAATGCGGGAATGGGGGAATGCGGGAATGGGGGAATGCGGGAATGGGGGAACAGGGAATGGGGGAACAGGGAATGGGGGAACGGGGGAACAAGGAATGGGGGAACAGGGAATGGGGGAACAGGGAATG